ATTATGTGATGATACGCTTGCATACCTTTCAATAAATCTTTACTCAAAGTTTCTGAAATTGGCTGATCTGATAATTGCGATTGTAAAGATTGTAAACCCATTTGATTTTGTGAATGATGTAGTAAAGAAACGGATGCACTTTTTGGCGCCAAAGGGCGTAAAGACGCAGGTTTTTTCTCGGGTTTTGATGAGGTTTGATCAAAGGAATTTTTAGCAAAAGTTCCTAATGTAGAAGTAGTTGAAAACGAAATTTTCTCTTGTTCAAGTAAACGAGCCAAATTTTTTGCCAAAGGACTTACACCAGGAACTGTTGAATTCGATATGTTTGAAGTTTTCCCGCATTTTTTTGCTGAAGGATCAACTTCAATCTCGGTTGCCTCAATGTGTACCTCTCCGTTATCAACGTAAAGGAAGAATCCGGATATAAAAAATTGTGAATAGGCATCCCAATTGAACGCCATGTTATTCCACTTCTCATTATCAGTTTGATAACCAACTCTAAACCTTGGATCTGTGTAAGATCGTGAATAACCACTATGAATTGATGATTTCGTTCGAACAAATTGACAATTTTCTATCTGCCGTAATGAACCGGAAATAGGTTGAGTGTGAAAACTCAAATATGGAGCCGAAATCGGTATTTCTTCGGGTTCCCAACAACCCGATGACGGTGATGGGAAAGGAGTTGCCACAGAGACATTTAACTTTTTTATTATGATGATGATGTGATTATGATCATGATGAATGATGATTGATGACGACGATGTTGATTATGCATGATTTGACAGAGAGTTTTTATAATTTAAGTTTAAAAAATATCGAAATCCATAAAGAAATCGCAAATCATTTAACTGAAGAAAATCATTTTACCGTAAATCCTTCTTCTTTATCTATAGTCTCGTAAGAAAATTGTCCCACCAAAGTAACAACATCGCCTTCAGTGAAAGAATGACAATATTTTGTCATTTTCGCACTTGAAATTATCTTAAATCGAAATGTACCAAATTGACCCGCTTCACACCTAAATCTACCCACACCATAATCGATACCATTCTGACGCGATTTTTGTTCTATAAAAGCGACAACATGCATAGTAGAACCCATTTTTTTATACGATGATTTGTTCCACCTCTCGTCTACTTTTGATGATAACTATGAATAAATAATAATAATAATATATATATGTATGTATGTATGAGTGTGTGTTATTTATCGATGGTAAAACAGAAAAAGAAAAAAAAAACAAAAAAAATTATCAACAATGGGAAAGAGAAAAAAAGAATTAGTATTCATACAATCGGATCAATTGAAAAAAAAATGGGTTTTTTTTTTGTGGGAAATAATCAACTAGTAGTTTATTTTAATTTAAAAATAAACACGAGATAATTACCTAAAATGTGTTATCAAGGTCAGCAGGTTTGTGTATTTTCTTTTAACAATTTCCGGATACGGTAAATTCAGACCGGATCAATGAAAAAATTGAACAAGGAAAAAAAAAAAATAAAGAGAAAAAAAATGTGGATAGTTTATAAAGTTTTTGAAAGATATTTGATTTCCTTTTTTAACACATATTTGTGTAGACAAAGGAATTTATGATTCAATATTGATGGTTAAAAAAAAAAAGGGCAAAAAAAAAAATAAAAAAAAAAGCGTATAAATAAAATGATATTTTGACCCTTCCTATTATAAAAGGAAATTTCAAGTTGGCTGAAGGATTAAATTTAGGGTTGATGACAATAAAATGCTTAATTTGGTAAGTTTCAAAAAGTATAAATAAAACACAATCATATCAAGATAAAAAGGGAGATACCAAAAAAGTTTATAACTTATCAACAGAATAATTAATAATGTAACCAATTAGACATTTTATTTGTTTTGAAACCATTGGATTTGCATTGAAACCTTCCGTAAATTAATATTTCAATGAAATCCGTTTACAGAATGTAAAAAAAAAAAAAATTATAATATTATTGATATGGGAATTGGCGGAAATTTTTATGTCGTTGAACAGGCAAAAGGAAAAAAGGAAATTCTTGAAATGAACTTACCGAATTATATAAGCCTATAATGAAATTTGCTGTATATTACCTATTTTAGATTTCCCGAGGCTCATTTTTCAGGTAAGGAATCAATGAATTCCCCAAAAAAGATTATAACGATAAATCTTTCTTTTGATTGATGAGACTTTTTATATCCCCATTGTTTAAATGGTTAACCATGCAGCAAAAGGGATTCATCTCAACTCAAAAAAAAAAATCGAACCCTCATTTTAAAAAAGATCCTACCCTTGCCCCATTCCTTATGTGTCGTTTTATACGTTTTATGCCGTTTTAATGATCGGAGTTTTTCGGAGTCATTTTTATTGGTTTCAACGTGTTTTGTCTCACGACAGCGAGCTGCAGTAAAAAATTCCCTAAAGTGGTTGATCTTTCTAAAATCTTTTTCCGGGTTTTTATTTAATTATGTGTCAATGAAAAAAATAAATGATCCAAAGGAAAGTTCCTTTCAGGCAAACATTCCAAAATCGTTCACAAATAAAGTCGTGTGTTCAATTCATCGATAATACCAATTACATAAATTCAATTTATTCTTTTTTTTTTAAAAAAAAAAAAAAAAAAAAAAAAAAATGGAAAAAAAGGTTCGTTTTTCACACGTCATAAATATTGTTTTAAATATTTTTTTTTCGAGAAATCATTGCCCAAAATCATTTTTAAAAAAAATTCTAGATTTCTCGTGTTTGTATTTTTATTCAAGAAATTTAAACAATTTAAGTATATTGATTGTCTTTTGAAATGTGAACTATAATTAGATCACATTATTAATAATTATAATTGTAGATTTTTTTTTTTATTTTCAAATCCTGAAAAGTTCATTATGGTTGACAATCTGGTATTATTATTATAATGACACTTTTTGTTTAAGACTTTTTACATTTCATTAACAACTCGATAGGGCATTTGTGTGTAACGCGGTGAAAAAACTGGGGGGTTTTTTTTTTTAAAGAATCAATCAATGTTTTAAACGTGTGTTAATGAACAAAATAAATTCTAAGAATGGAATTGTTCTTGTGATTTTGATCTCATCATATTTACTTTTCATGAAAATGAATAATCATTGGTACACAGCTTCTATCCTCAGTCAACTGACCCCTTCTACATTCCTAAATAAGAGAGAAAACCTTTACACCTCAAATCGAGACAGAAAATCGTAATGATGTTTACACTTGAAAGAAGAAACCTTGCTCAAGATGAAATGCCCATAAACTTGGAACTAATATTTGACTCGTGAGGAAGCAGTGCAAGCACCCATCATGCACTTGTCTTATAGATAAGGACCAAAACTTTATGATGCCAACCTGGCCTTGGCAAAAATTGTGGTATTGACAATATTTTGACCTACTAACAGTTTAAAGGTTCACCCGCAGGAATTACATCATTGAATCTGAATCATATACCAACGTCAATGAAACGGAATGAGTAAAGATTTGTCAAACCGAATCCATTATTCTGACAAAAACAGTAGTAATTTGCGCAGTATGTCTCCGATCAATTACAATAAAGATTCAAAATTTCAAAAATGCTTGAAATCATTTTATTCCTTTATATATTAAGAAAATATCGATTATAAACGAAAAGATGTATAAATTAGTTCAATTAAAGTGTGGGGAACTAAATCGATTAGAAAAATCGGAATTTCCAATTCTAAAATTTTCATGTACTGATTATATATATATATAATGATATATTATTGTGCAAACATTTTTTTTTTTTTTTTTTTTTGTGGAAATTTTATATTTACAACGTCATAAATACAGTGATTTTTAAATAATATATATATATATACATGTATATATAAAAAGATATTTGGGCAGACAGCGTCTTGTGAAATTTTAATATAATTATTATCAGCACTTTGCATGAAATTATTCTCGTGAGGATAATTTAAATTTTAGCAATGCTTTACCTACTTATCGCTTGTTCATTCCTGTAGATTATAAATAAGATATCATAACCGGATTTATTTATCATTTAGACGTTAAAATCCCTTTAAAGTCATATAGTAGTTATAACTAATATGTCACGATTATGGCGCATTCAACTTAAAATTATAATTTAAATTTAAAAAGTCCAGGGAAAAAATAATATGGATATTTTGAATACATGATGAACACATATCGAAAGGAAGATTCGGCCACTTTTATTATTTTTACACGAGTGGTATCGGAAAGGTGGGAATTTCATTGATATCGATGATTGATTTGAAGGTCTCTGTAAATACAAAGTTATAGCTTTGATAAATGATCGTTAACTTATTATCATTTACTTGATTAAATTTGGTTATCAATTATCTAATATTTAAAATCAAATATTAGAAAGATAAAAAAAAAAATTTCATATTATCGCTAAAAATTCATTATTAATTGTCAAAAAACAAATGAATTCGTTCTTTCCAATTATTTCCAAACTTAACAAACTTCATGATCAATTCTATGATTGAAGAAATATTTGGCGAATATAATTTATTGCTGTAAGATTTGTAAACTGCCAAGTAAAACACTTACAAACAAACACTAAAAATTTTACGGTAAAATTGGATAGATAAGGGATAATTATTATTATATAAAGAAGAATTGAAAAATACCAAAAAAGAAAACTTTCCTTGTACTTTGTAATTATTACTATTGTTTTTTTTTAAACAAAAGAATTTCTTTTTTTAAATTCATTTACATTCCAATTTGCTTGCATTGATGAAACCTAGATTAACATATTGCTTTGGCTAATTACCGGTATTCGCATAAAATTATAACCTTTTTTGTTTTATTTAACAATTGGATAAAATAGGAAGGTAAACAGCCTATCCGTTCTATGAACACCAACAGGATCCACATATAAATATTTGTAATGGATAAGCTTCGTCGATAACATATAATTAATATTTTAATTTACTTATATGGTTTATCTAAATATAATTTATGGTAAGACAAAAAAAAAAGCTTGATTTTATATTATTTGAATCCCATATTCTTTCATTCTTTCTTCAGAAATTTCAGAAGGACAGGATACCGTCAGATCACTACCAGAAGCGGCTTTTGGAAAAGCCATAACATCTTTAATGGATTTTGTTCCACATATTGTTGCCAATAACCTATCAAATCCTATAATCATATAATAAAATATAATAAGCACAAAATAATAAATTGTTATAATAATGATTTAAATAATCATGTGATCCAATTGCATTTCTTACCCAATGCAATTCCACCGTGGGGAGGGCATCCATGTTCAAGTGCTTTTATCAAGTGATTAAATCTCTTTGCTTCTTCGTCACTTAACTAAATACACATATAATGTTAAAAAATTATAGGTTTATATGACAGGATTAACGTAAAATACCTTTAATATTTCATTAAATATCATAGATTGTAATTTTGCTGAATGAATTCTTATGGATCCACCTCCAATTTCTATTCCATTTAAAACTAAATCATAATGCTGTCCTTTAACCTAAATAAAAAAAAATTACACACACATATATAATAAGTTAAATAATAACGATAAAACTAGTATATTTTAAATACACACCTGTTCAGGATCTTTGAAAAGTAATTTAACGTCTTCGGGAATAGGTGCTGTGAACGGATGATGCGTTGAAGACAACCGTCCAGTTTCATTATCACGAGTAAATAAAGGAAATGATTCAACCCAAAGAAAGTTATAATCTAATGGTGATATCTTCAATTTATCTAAAATGAAATGAATAAATTATTAATAAATTTTTGATCTAATAGGATATAAAATATTTGATGCAATAAATACTTTTCGATTGTAACAAATTTGCAATTTGAGATCGAATTCGTCCCAATAACGTCCAACTCCCCTAATAATAATAATAATATAATAAAAATACCATTTAAAATAATGAAAAACTATAAGTTAAATGGATTTACCGTAAATAGCTGCTTTCGTTTGTGCACGATCACCAAATCTTCAGCTTCAATATCAAATTCTTTAGTAAGAGAATTATCTTTATTAAATAGATTAGGCGAATGTTTCAATAAAGGCGAATCAGAAAACCAAGAATTTAACTTGTCGGCACTCATCTTATGAAATTCCTGTTATTTTATTTGATTATTTTTAAAAAAAGGAATAATCACTAAAATAATCAAACATTTAAAAGAATCCATGTATAAAACTCTATTTATACGTACACATTTGAATTTTAAATCTTCTGAGGCATCACCCAATGATTTTA